GGTACAGTAAATTATACAAACTATAACACATTTACTCGCCTCTAAATCTGAAATGGACAAAAAAATCTAGACGCACGACCGCTACACCGAAAAAAGGACGGGACCTGTTTGGACAAATATTTTTGAAACACAATCCGTTTGGACCGATTTTCAACACCCGTTTTGGGTTAAAAAAAAATACTACTTTTATACAGTCCGCTTGGACCAGAAATTTCCTTACATCAGTTTAACTGAACGTTTTTTTAGCAAGTCTTTATGGAAATGTAAAAGTACTGGTCCAAACGGACTCCCGGACAAATAAATCCCGGTCCGAACGGATTGCCGCTTTATTAGTGGCCCAATCGTTCTTGCTCCGAACGTGCTTCACCCCGAAAAAAAAAATCCCCTCTATTATTATAGAGCGAACGGCCGAACCGCGGAACGTGAGAGTATCGCGCAACGCGTGAATCGATCGTTTTATTATTTCATATCGCTACTCCGGCGCCGCGGTATCGTTACGCTCACCCAACCGCGTGTCGGACACTGCGCCGCCTTATAAAACCGGCACGGCTATCGGAAAGTCTATTTTAATCGTGCCGAAATAATGACACAAAAAAAAAAAAAAACAACCTCGTACGGAAAAAAATAATAACTTTTGACCGGTACCCCAACCCCCCCCCCACACCTCCTGCGAAGACGGCGCGCCGGGTGTTCACGAGGTCCCGCGATTTCCACCGCGGCGCGTGTTATTATCGTACACGGTCCGTAACGCGTGCGTGCGCGCTGCGCGGCGTCGTATTTTTCCGGCCGGCGACGACTGCGACGGCGACGGCGTCGGCGGCCGTTTAAAATGCGTCCCGTTTTAATGTTGTCGCGGCCAGTTTCGGTATAATGCGCTCGGCACGGTGTGTTAACGACGCATGCGTTTCCCGCTCGGACGTCGTCTGTATATTATGCATTGTTTACGACTCCGGCGGCGTGTCGATTCGACGGTACGTAATATTGACGGTCCGTTTTAATAGCGTTCTATGTCAGAAATCGGTAAAACCGTCAAACGACAGACGACGACTGGGGACGAGAAAGTAGTTATAGGAGGACACAAATTTGCGAAATATGGAAAATAAAAAAAAAATTGACGATAATATGCCAAAAATACGCATAAAAAAATGTACAATAAAAATTTACTCTCCGATCCGTAATTTAGTAATATATAGCAGCACAATCGAATTTTATTATTATTCATTCGTCATGCCTGAAAATATGTTTTCTCAATTTATGTACCATTCGATAATAAACGAATAATACCATACGTATTAATTGATACGTTTTACATTTTAGGTTTAAACGCTAGGTTGTTAAAACTACAGATTTTGTGTTCAATTATTGTTTTATAGGATAAATTTCATTAAAAATAAAGACAATTTAACTAAATATGCGTTTCTTCGCACAAAAAATATTATTAAATATGCTATATTCTTAAAAAAAAAATGACCAAAATATGCAAAAAAAAAAAAACACATACGGACCCTCTAGTTTATATAATAGATTTTAACTTAGTTAGCTATAAATAGAAGACATAGACAAAAATATGCAATTCCTTTAACTGCTCATCCCTAGTGCCCAATGACAATAATCTCTAGTAATCTTGAGTTCGGATGAAGCACTCCGTAGATGTGTCCGAAAGTATACCTAATAATATGCATGCACTGCAGTGTCTATTTTCGGTGGAAAAACCGATAAAAAAGAAAACAATATTTTTTCTCTATTGTTTGATATTTTAACATTAATTCTTCCACGCTCGTCCCACTGAAAAATAACGACGTATTAGTATAATATTTCGTTTCGTGTTTTTTTTTCTTACCGTCGTGTTTTCGTAGAATATTATATCTTTTTCTTCTGACACTCTATGCACAGTGTACCCGCCTCTGGTATTGCAATAGTTATAGTTTTATTACACAATGTACACATAAAAAAAAAAAAAAAACGACCTATCAGGATGTCACTGTGCGTGTGCGGCCATGTATTGAATTGGCTTTATTTGCGTATATACACAGGATGTCTTACAGCGTTATCCTTATATGCTAATAATTCTGCCAATGTTCATGTTTTTTTTCAAGCAGGTTTTGAGCGAGGAGTACTCATTATTATGTAGAGAAAAATTAAATCGCCTTTTACGGCTTTGAAGACAATTGATAGTATATGAATATTAGGGTGCCAGTTAATTATATAGAAAGATAATTATTTTTCAAATTTTGAAGGGCGGCGGCGGGAAATTTGTTCCAATACATCTATTATTAGAGTCTGTAAAGTTTGAGCTCGATCAAACATAGTTTACATATGGCGACTTAAGCTCAAAGTTTTATGAAAAAACGTAAAAGGTCACGGTTTGTTGCATAACTACTTAAAATTTTATTTTACAAAAAATTGTATAGAATAATTATTGTAGGTCAATTTATTTCCATAAAAATAATGTATCTTTATATTTATTCATAAAATTAATGCTTAACCGTGAAATAAAACATATACGTTGAAGTTCATGTTTTATGAAAATGTTATTTTGGAAATATACTTTATATTTTATTGATCGGTACATGATTAAATATTTTTAAATAAGATATTAACATACAATTTAGATTTATACTTATCAAACTACTGTTCAATAATCGTTAAATGATTTCTTCATGACTTCCAATGTAGCATTTTTGGGATATTTTTTACGGTAATCTTGAACGGTCTATAATAAAAAAAATAATTACCTTCCTTTAATTTTGTTTACATATTACTTATCTAGAAAATGGTTTTAATATTTACCTTTAATAAAAACTGTTTTTGGGTTTCATCTTTTGTAATTTTATCATTAAACTCTTCCATCAATTGTATGTTCCTTTCAGCAGAGTCGTTTACGATTTTTAAGTTTCTTATGANCAAAAAACTTCATTGATTTATCACCAATAAGCTTAACTAAAATGTTATTATCATCGTCTTCTAAAAACTGTTTCAAAATCTCTTTTTTTAATATTAATTTTTTTGGAGTATCATCTTCGTTTTGCGAATCTCCGTCTTGAATTACTTGATTCAATATTTTTTTTGTCATCATTATTTTAGTTTTATTGTTTACTCTTTCATCAAATAATGAGAACACAACCGTCTTAAAAATTTCTCGTAACGTATGATTCATTGAATGTATTGTACGTTACGTTAAAATGTTTAGAAAAATATCTTTTGACGAAATGTCTATTTTGAATATTTTAAACATTTTAAAAATGTATACAATAAAAAATCATTTTTTTTCATTAATTAATGGATAAAAATACAAATTTAATTTTTCTCTACATATTATAGTATGCAGTGTTCACTTAACATGAAATTCGATTGAAAAAAAAAAAAAATTTATATCGACAGAGTTATTAACCGAAGGTTAACACTGTTTAGGACACCCTGTATATCTGTAGGGTCAGTGTATTTGTGGTGGACGTTAAAACACACATATGTATACACACGGCGGCGGCGGTTGAATAAAACACATTATTATACGCACGATGCGCCCCGTTCGGGTATATTATCTATTTTCCGCATGCATAATAGATAATAATATATACGCGTGGGAGCGTGTTACGTGTTCCGAATGAGTTAAAAAAAAAAAAAAACCTCCGAAAAAAAAAGTTAACCGTGAGGAAAAAACCATAAAAATAAATACATAATATTTCGTACAATGCCTACCGTGTTAGGCTTTAAAAATAACGATAATATTATAATAAGTCACGCGCATATAATATTTTATTCATTATTATCGTTATGATTATTATAACAATAAAATTATACATTATAATATAATCATTAGGTCTGCGAATGTTTTGACACGCTAAAAATTCGCTGAAAAAACCTTATAAAAACGGCCCCGAATAAACCGGCTAAAAAATTAAAATATAAAAAAGACAGACACACTTCGGACGACTGGTGGATCATACCGTTATATGTGTGAGAAGTTAGGAAGGTATGATATACAGGAAAATTTAATTTGAAACTGTACGTGATGATGAACCATTGCTAACGAAAAGCCATTCCAAGCGAAGTTCATTTTACCGATTTTCTTATTTCCCCCCTCCCCCCAGTTTTTCCCGATTATTATAAAAACCGCTTGAAAAATCAAAAAAAAAATAAAATAAAATAACCTAACTAATAGTAACTCTTAAATATTTCCTTTCAAATAAAGTCACTTCACTTGAAAATCAGAGCGAGGTTCCAGGTAGACAAGCTTTCCACAGAAAATAAAATTAAAATAAACAACATTGTAAAATCAATACATTCCTCGCTACGCTCTAATTTAAAATAAAGAGTTCATAAGGCAGGATAAATAAAGTTATTTGATTTACATTTTTTTTGAGAAACGCTGAACCGTTGCTGAAAACGCCAAACGATGTTCTGTTATAGACATTCAAAAACATTATAATAATTGTAATCTTATAAAGATTATGAAAAAAAAAACACTACTACATTTCCCTCAACATTTTTTTTAAACTGCTAAGTATGACTTATAATAAGCCTTATGTTCAAGTGTATCGGTTTTGTTAAATAATTTTATTCACAATGTAACTGTCAAATAAAAATAAAACCCTATATTGCTTAATATTGCTTATAAAAAACTTAAAAAAAAACTCTAATGTTTTTAAAAATCTTACCGCGTCTGTAAAAGTCCGATATAAGTTTCCTGTGAAATTATCTGGTCATTATTAATATTTTGAAACGAATTACAAATAAAATGAAAACAAAAAATGAACCGCTATTCTTGGAAACAATTCCGTTCTTCTAAGTTTTTTCTCGGTATTGCCCAATATTACTGATCAGGAAATCAAAAAAAAAAAAAAAATTATAATAACTTTCATAATCACCGACAAAATTTAAAATGCAACAAAACGAAGTCTCTTGACATTTTCGGGAATGTCGAGATTCCTGGCATACAAATTGTTTACTAAAAACATCCCCCACTGCGTCTTGGAATCTTAAAAATTACTCGAAACTGAAACGACTGAAATTACTGTTCGACGTTTGAAAATCGTGGCGGATCCACTATACTCGTTAACTGCGCGTTTCAATTATTACGTGTAAATCTTGAACGGATTTCGTGTTCGTATATCGAGTGAAAATTCTCCGGTTAACAACGAGAAAGAATCACACAGTATTGAGCATATTATTCATTGCGAGCTACGCGTTTTCGTTTAACGTCCGTCGAAATTGGATCATAGAGGTGCGCGCGTTCGGTCGGAAATTGTCGTTTGTATTACACAAAATGCGAATATTTGATCGAGGGGTGATCTAGAAATGAACGTATCGGTAATGTCCCCACCGAATGAGACAGGAGGTCGATGAATTTTGGCCGGTAACCGATGACGGGCCGAGAGAGGCCGAATTTCGACGAATTCCTCCCGTTTAGGTTTTTCGAGATACCGCCTCCACTCGAGGGGCTAACTTTACGAGTGTAGTACGTTTGTTATTATTTTCCATTTCGCTCTCTGACAACGGATTTCGTTGGGAACGTAAGGAACGCCGGGAAATATTAGTTCGATAGAATTCCAATGTCCGATTCGGTGGATTAAAAATAGATTTATCGGGAAATACTCCCCATCGACCCAGGGGTCCTAGGAGGTTTTCACTCCATGTCAGTATCCGACCGTCGGGGTTTCTGAGACTTCAACCGCTATCGCATAACAATTTCATTTGTTTTAGGCTCATTTCGGCCATTATTATTGTTAAAAACGTAATTGAAACCAAAACAAAATTATTTTATATCGTTTTTTCCGTGCGTTGTGATGATATGTACTGTTATTAGGCAATTTTCGTACATGCGCCTGCCTATTCGTTTTATCGCGTTGTTAATAATATCACTTTACGTTTACGCTATTTATTTGTCTTTTTGATATAATACTACCGAAATACGGCCGTCAAACTGGTTAATAGTTCAGCGCTATGAAGACCGTCGACTTATTATAACAATGGGTTGTGAGGTCGTTGAATTCACCGTTCACATCGTTAATTTTGTATACCTATCGTTCTTTAAATTGACTGATCCCTCATTTCAAACGGTTTTACAAGTCTCGTAAAATTTGTATATTTTTTTGAATATTTACGTGTACATATAGTATTAAGTGAATTTTATGAAAATTAGGTTTCTGTAATTATAATTTTATAAGATGAAGCAAATTAAATTTATGTTGTGTATTGTATTTCCGTTAAGGTTGTATAGTTGCAATATGCTCCTAACCTATTAAAATATTTTAGACTTTCTTATTATTTTTAGCTGGCTGTAAACAGTATTTTGTTGTTTATTATAATTATGCAATTTTTATTTTTGGTTTTTTCAAAGGCTAAACAAATTAATCGATTTGTTTCTTTTTAAAGTAAAAAAAAATTAAATCAATATAACACTTCATGCTCATAAATATTTATTTTATAATATATCAATTGTTATTTATATTTGATTTCTGATAAGGAATTCATTTCCATATCTCTATTAAGCCTATATTGTGTTGAGCAAATACTTGTAGTATTTCTGTATAGGAATGAACGATAACGGTTCTACGGATACCTCCATAATACGTCACTAACGCTATTCAGGCCTATGTTCTACAGTGTTATCCTCATGCTAATAACCTTGTCAATATTTCTCTTTTCGACCGGGTTTTGTTAGATGTAGCCATTTTGTAAACGATATTATTATTAACACTTGAGTGTCACATTTTACATTAATATCCGATCAATAGTTTCATATAGTAATTTGGCGTTAAAATAATTAATATTCAATAGAAGATAAGAATAATTACCGAGCTGATTGTGATTCCTTATTACGTAACGTGTCATTATTTTATTTTATATTTTCAATAATTAAGGGAGGAAAAGGAAAATGTAATTTTCCTCTACGTATGTGTTCACCTCGCGCAAAATTCAATTGAAAAAAAAAAAAAGAAAAATATTGACAGGATTATTCGGGCATAAGGATAACATTGTAAGGCGCCCTGTATACTACACCTGTTATCGCGACGAACTCGGCGCCGAAGACGTGTCCCGTAATTAGACCGAAAATGGATAAAGTAAAGTTTAACAAATAACAAAAAAAAAGAAGAAAAATATAAAACCAAAAACAAAATACTGCAGACGGCGGGATCCTTTAGTGGGCTATAAGTCGACGGAATCCGCATCGCTAATAATCACAAACAATAATAACCGACGCCGGTGATTAATAATATTTCGGTTGCATCGTTGACTGGTGGTGGGGAACGGGGAGGGGGGTCGCAGTAGCGGCGTACTTATGATCGGAGGGGGGGGAGGACGATAAAGAGAGATACTCGCGAACACACACACATACACACACACACCACACACGGAACGGTAAATTATTGGCTCGCGGGTTCGCCGTTCAGCTGGGTCAATACGGGTCCCCCATTAACTATTTACGCGGCACGACTACGCCGCCACCGCCGCGCCGGGCCGGGACGCGTTCGGATTTCGTGACGCGTTGTACCCACCCCGCGTGTTTAACGAACTCGCCGCCGCGGTCACCTCGTCGTACCGCGTCCGCCGCGCGCACACCGATTATGTTGTTACGTTTAAATTTCCTATTTGACTCGATCGTTTTTCGATGTTCTTTCAAGCTCCCCCCCCCAGCCATACTACCAACCCCCCCCACTACCCCGTAACATGTCGTACAACGGCAATGTCCTACACCGCGTCCGGCCGGCGCCCGAATTCGGAACCATATCGACGTCGTGGGTTCCGCGGTTCTCAGGAGAAAAAATTCGGAAACCTTTCGATCGAACGTCTCCCGCCTTCGTTCCAGCGATTATTCGAGGTCAGCCGCCCCCGTTATAAACATTCACGTGACCCGATCGGTGCATTCCAGTTGGGTACCGCGGATTTACATAGGTAGTTTACTAGTCATCTGATACCGTAACATTAATATTAATTATTAATTTAATAGTTTAGAAGTTTAAACAAGTAAAACATAATATATTTTTCCTAATATCTACCAGTTGATAAAAGTTTTAAAAAGGACCCGAATAGGAACTTACATTAAAATGAGAAGCTCAGAAAAAACGAAATAAAATTGTATTTTACAAAAACAAAAAATGTATAAGAAGGATTAAATGACAGAAAAAAACAATGGAAAAAAAGACTATAAGTCCTCTAACTCTGTAAAAATAAAAAGGAAAATGGTTTGCATAGCTTTTAGTCGTTCGGGCCCAACTATTATATTACCTACCGAAAACAGGGACCCAACCAGTATAGTACCCGGCATTTATTGGGGTCCAACTAGTAGTATCAAAACCACTAGGGTCCAGAACCCAACTCGCATGCAGCCGATCCGATCTCCCAACTTGTATATTTACTGTCCTCGAGTGTCCTCAAATAATTCCAAGTTGCAACAAACTGTTTCTTTTTTGAAATCGTTCACACTCGGTCGCGTCTGAATTTTCGTATTCTCATCGCCGTTGTCGTTTGAGACGATAACACGATGCGAAAAAACCGAAATCTGCACCGAACACGCCGAGGGGTTTTATTTAAGGTCGCTGTTTATGTTTTTTATTTTTATTTTTTCTCATTTCGACAAAGTAATAGCGCGTGCGAAAACCGCGAGAATGCCTATAATATTATTACATATAGGCGTAAATACGAGACCGGAGCTCGATTCTCTTCTCCGAGATGATGTTATTCTTTCCATCCCCTCCACCGCAAAACGATTTTCCCCTCCCACGCAATATTCCAACATACGCCACGCACATTACACTAAAAAAAAATAAAACAAAAAAAAAATAACAGTATCTATATAAATACAAAGAAAAACTCGTACGAATCCTAACGACTCGTAAAATCCCATCGTAAAGGTGTTATTTTTTCCCCCGACGCTCCTATATATTATTTGCACTTTGCGGACGATTTGCAGCCGCGTATAATAACATAACGGGTTTATAGGTGAAATTTTCTTCAGAACCTATTATATTGTACAATACGAGTTGTGGGTTCTCAAAATGTGTTACTGAATCAGTTCCCCTCACGGAAACGGTTTTAAGTTTAAAATGTCTACCTATATTATAAACTTGGGATCAAATTGAGACCCATATATTAGATACACTTATAGAAGATGATAGAATAATTTAATTATCGTATTGCCGATAAATTTCAGCCTCCCCCCCTCCGCCAATAAATCGGTCTTTTCAAAATTATTTAAGTAGGCGAAATAACACAGAGACAAAAATACCGCTTTTAATTTACTAAATCATTATATAAAATTTAAAAAAATCTCGTGCACTGTGAGTTCCCTTTTATTTATTACGGTGAAAATTTAATTTTAAAACTATTAGACCTGAATAATAATGTTAGTATAAACGCAATAAATTATAGTGTTATTTAAACATAAAAAATCTATCAAACATTTTTTTAAGTCCACGGACGTCCACGAATAGAGTATAACAAATATTTATTCAAAGGATTGTTAAATATATTTTTTTTTTTTTTCCCCAGTGTAATAATGCAATATGGGTATAGGTATATTATGTTGAATATAGAGGAGGCAAATCACTTTACATCCGAATATTGTATAAATATTTTCCGTTAAAAACTTCGGAGAACGTCGCTGCGACGGAAAACGAAAATTATAAAACGGCAGCGTGTGATGACATTGATAATAATATGCGAGTGATTCGGCGTGAGTTAGGTTAGGTTTAACATATAACGAAAAATAAGCAAACAGGTGAATTTGAAACAAGAAAAAACGAAATAATGGATCTGTTCGGAAAATACTACGTAATCCGGACACTCGAAAGGAGAGAACGAGCTGGCTAGAGCATACGTATATATAAAAGTTGAATAACATAAAGCGATAAGAATGAATAAGTTTGAATGCAAACACCATAACGAAAAATCACCGGACAGACCAGAAAAAACAGCGAGGACGGACCATACGAACAAGTCGAGATCTCCGCAGAGACCGACGAGAGTGGAATATCTAAAGAAAAGAGGCAGACGAAACGGAGGAGAATACATAGGGTGGCGACGGGCTAAACGATGGGTTTTCGAATTTGAAAATAATATAAACAGTAAAACATTATACATTTATTGTGTCCGGCGATTATTGGTTTTTATTTTTTCATACGAAAACAGCTGCTGCCGCCATCTCCGCAGTATAATATTCATTTTTTTTTTTTCTTTTCTTTTAATATTTTATCACAGTATTCTATAATATTGTGCTGTGTACGCGTTCGGGTCTGTACATTATATATTTGCGCTAGAGCGCCAGAAATTTATGGCCGGGAAATTTCTCTGGTTCGTCCGCGGAAAATACGCGACCGCTTCGAAAAAGCCGTTCGTATTGTACACGAGAAAAAGGCAGTGGCGGTGGCGGTGGCGACGGCGACGACGATGTTCAGCGCCAACTCCGCACGGTCGTAAATCACATTTCGCGTTCACGTGTCCGTATACACTCGTATACAAATATACGCGCAATTATTATTATCATCGTTATTACTATTATATTTAGGTTAATCTCCGTGGGCGATCGGGCGACAAACATTGACGTCGAACGGTCCGAGAATCCTTTCCTCCCGAAATCCCTACTATGCTTAATATTATCCTTCCCCTTTTCGAAAAAAGAAACCCCATCCATGGTCGTTCACCACAACCTAATTCACGTCCTCTGAATCGTTTCCCAATCTCTCGAATCCCGCGTTTTAAAATGAGGTTTTCTCGACGGACTAACGTCAGTTTTTGAAAGGGAAACAAACGGCGTGTGAGGAGGTTTAATTTTCGAAAAATCCTTTCTTGTGTAACGTTTGTCCGCGTTAATCTCTGTGGCGAACCGACGGCCCGGGTACACTATATATTTGTACATATTTCATAATAATACAATATTATGTGGAAATAAACCAACATATTTATTCGGGTTTTTTTTGGGGAGGGGGGACATAAGAATTACGTGTATTCGTAGAGGAACATTTATTTTTACTTTCTTCGTGGATATAATTTTACCTCCCTTCTCATATCTGCCCCGAAATTAAAAACCTATTAATTATCACGTGATTCGTATGTTTCAATATTGTTAACCTCGTCAAAATGTGTCGTGACTTTTATGTTCATATGAATAATATCGGAATTGATGCGTGAATGCATGATTAAACACACTGTTTACATAATTAATAATTTCTTTTATAATTATTTTTAACTGTTCGTCGGCTAACCCGCAGTCATTCGTCCTTGCCCATCCCACCAAGTTCTAATAATATTACAATAGATCAATCGACCTCATAACCTCTCCCGCCTCCCATAATCTGCTTACAGCAACAACGAAACAGTGCTTTTTTTTGCACAGTATTTTTTTTTTCGTAACTGACGCTAATCTCTGAAAAGTCGCCCCTCCGTCATATAACATCTATATAGTATTATTTTATTTTGAACGGGATAATTATTATGCAAATAGGCGGTTCTATGTAGCAGAAACGTAAACTTTCTAAAATAAAAAAACATCACCGAATATTAACGCATTTGTATCAAATTATCAATACAATTATTACAGTGCAAACATATAAATATGACTGTCTAAATAATAAAAAAAAAATTAAAGGAATTGAAAAAGAAAACGGGTAGGTACGTGTTAATTCTTATTTTAGATTGTGAGTGGAGCGAAAAATGTATTGGTTTTATAATGATGTTTATTTTTTTTTTTTTATTTCAATGGATAACTTTTCTACTAGACATTTTGCTCCAATTTTCAATTATAGTATTTTTTCCGAAAAGAATTTTGACTGAAGTGGTATTTTAAAGATGTAATTTTTTGATTTTTCCAGCTGTTTTCATAATAAATGGAAAAAAAGTAGAAAAAACTGGAAAATTTACAAAATGTTATGTATTCATTTTTTTTGGACAGAAAACATAAATTTACAATTTCTAGACATGTTAAAAGGTTCAAAACATTGTAGCCATAGCATATGTGAGCTATTTACAGACATTTGATTTATTTGGGGTATATTACGGTAATAGGTATATAATATGTAATTATTTTACTACAACTTAATTATATATATATATATATATATTGTCGACTAGGCAACAGTATTAACCAAACTCTGTTCAAAATCGTTTTTTCCTTATCAATAGTTTATCATTACATACAGATATAGGTACATTAAATTTCCTCTCTTTTTTTCCAAATTCCTCACCTACAATAATGGTCCACCTGTCGTGCTAAGTATGTATTAAGTATTTATTTTTCATCGCATTTCTTACGTCACTTTATAAATGAAATATTTTAATAATATTTTGTACATATTCAATTGAAATTCATACATATATAAATACTGGGTCCCACTCGAAAAGACCCGTGAGATGGTTCAGGAATTCCAATAATTCCGATTTATCTTATTAAAATTAAATGATTATAACCAAAATTGTATATTATAACTTACCTAATTATAAACATAGACAAAATAATCGTGTAAATATAAAATTGTTTCGTAAACACTTTATAATAATATTATTACGACGCAGTGGTCCCGAATTTATGTATTAGATGTGGCCGCTGCGACACTTAATTTAAGGGGTGGGTATACCATCTTCCATGGTATTTTAGTATAAAACATTGTAGGTACATTTTACAAATTTTAAACTAGTCTATTCCTAGACTTCCGTAGATTGTACCGTGTGATTTCATTAGTAAAAGCAGTTAACTATTTAACCATATGTATAACTATAACGATAATAATTTAATTAATGGTTTACGATTTATAACCAATAGTACTTAATAAATTTCTAAATTTACAACAGTGGCTACAGCTAGCTCACGGTGTTATACGCCGACTATACAGTATAGAGAGTAAAAACATACACATGGTAGTATTGTTATTATTTAACTATTTTTGGTTATATCCGAGATAGTATACAGAGTGTCCCACGATGAACTGTTTTTTGAAATAAATTGTTCTGTGCAATATTACATTTAAGTCTATATAGGTTTTCAAAATTACAATGAAAAATACTTTAGATATCAAAAAACGACTTTCTTTGTTAATGGCTATATGTAAAAAGAACCGAAATGGATCCTTGCTATTTTTCAATTGGAGCAATATTTCTGGTATTTCTGGTATACATTTTAGCCCAAAGGTGGCTATAATTTAAACGATTTTAGCTGGCAATTTTAAGTGGAAAGAGTAAGCTAAGTTGTAGTGAAAAAAATAAAGAAAATATTTAAGTACGGGTTACCTAAAGTAAATGAGATGGAGGTGTAGGGGAGAGAGATAATTTGTTTTACCCTAGGGTATACAAATCATAGATGTGCCATTGGAACGGGAATTATCTATAATATATCTACTTCACGTATGACCAACCACGAATTCTGGTATATAGTAGATTTTGAGAAAAATAAATCGGCTACATCGTCCTCAGCTTATACACATATTAAAATCAATACGATATAGTAAGTAGGTATGAGAAAAAAAAATCGCAGACCAATTCAATTATGCGACGAATTATCATTTATGCTATGCGCCAAGCTTATCCCAGTCATGCAGTGTGCAGTTTGTTCGATTCGTGTAATGAAAAGGCGCACATAATACCCGAACGGAATAAAAATAACATTATTGATTATAAATTAAATACTATTATTATTATAATTAGGTGTATCGATGGATGATTATTTTATTACACGCTGCGACGATAATAATAATATTAATTATTAGTGTATAGGTATCAACCTAATAGCAGTACGGTGGTTTTCAACGGGGCTGCGGTTTAGGTTTGAAGTATGTGTTTGAATTTAGAGTACTGTCGCGTATTATTAGCGTTTATGAACATTTTCCTGTGTTTATCGTTTTTATGGCGAGAGCTGGAGTGAGATCGACCGCCGGCAGTCGGTTGTTATCTCGACGAACGGACAACGAACCGCAAAATGTTAATGACCATTGCATTAGCGTTATCAACGTATGAGTCGATATGATTATTTTTATTCGTTTATAAAGATAATAATAATAATATTGTGTTTTTGTTAACCGTGGGCCGGTGCTTCGAGTAGTTATAACGAAAAGTTCGGCCGGCACACTCGTCGCACAATATTACAGTCCGACTGCCGCCGGGGAGTAATCGATTTTACGCGCGCTAATCAAAAAAATGTTCGTCGTGACGGAGACGACGACGTTTCGAAAACCATTTATTATCGATTTCGTGGCAATCAGTTGTGAAATTTATTTTTTTCTTTCGAATTATATTATTTTATATCAGAGTATTTTGTTATAATATTAATCCGATAATTCTGATATAGTCAAAAACACATACAACTCGAATAATATTATTTTAATTGTCAGTGACGGTGAATAATACTATTTCCTACATATTTATTCTAACCGCTGTTTTTACGAAAATAAATAAAAATCGATAACATAATATTATAACTATGACGTTGGACGATATGGACGTGGTTAATGATGAAAATAATGGCGAGAGAAAATCCTACACTTACCGCAGACCGCGTTGTGTCTTCGTGAGAAACATGAGGTAATAGAAGATTATATTTTAATAATTCGTCATTCAAACTCCAAATTTAGGACCCGGCGATTTGTTTTTAAAGGTCCGAAATAGTTAGTTTGTTTGTTAATCAACGAGAGCGGTTCGAACATTTTTTTTTATTATAATTATTATTATAGAACTGATCCTGGTGTCACGTGAGGCGATTAAACGGGGAGAGATTTCAGACCTTTTCTCTTCAATATTCATAAAAATATTTTATATTATAATAATAACAGAGATACTATTGTCTATAGTTCGATATTCATAAAAATATTGTATATTATAATAATAACAGAGGTACTATTGTCTATAGTTTTATAGGAAAAAGCAATATTAATTCTTAAGAAATCTGCCTCGTTCCTCCGGCCAAGCTGAAAATCTTTGTTCTTGTATGCAGATTTTTATCTCTAAATAATAACTATTTTAACCGAATAAAAAATTAAATGGGTCACGGAAACGATAACGAAAATTGGGTTAAATAAATATGACTTTAATGATGATTTAAATTCTTTTTATTGTAAGTAAATGACAAAAAAACTTTAAGTACATTTTTGAATATTTTTCATAAATAAAATTTGGTTGCGATTCTCAGTTAAATAACTACATTTATCCTACACAATTATTTGTTGGACAGAACCTAAAAAATAATAATTCGTTTTCAAAATTTATATCATTTATACACAATTTCTATAGTTTTGTCCGTCTTTTAGGTCAGAATTAGCACCGTCATTAATGTTCTTAAACTGTATTCAAGCAGTGATAATAATATTATACACACCAATAGTCATAATATATAGATTGAAATTAAAGTTACTTTAAAATATTTAATTTTACCGGCTCAAATTAACAAAAATAAAGTTTGCCCGTTACTGAAGGGATCACCAAATCTTTACCAATCAAGTAGGTCCGCCTTGAAATTGTCTGTACAATACGAATAGATTTACTACTTATATAATTAATTTTGTTACACACTTTTTTATCTGTAATTAAATGTCAAGAAAAATAACGAGTTTATCATAATAGTATATAATATTCAAATGTTTTTTTAGATTCTGATAGATTTTAGTGTGTTTTTTTTTTTTTGCTCATCTGTTAAGAACTTTTTTACCATTTCTACCAGAATTCTTGTTCCGATAGACAACATCAGGAATGGTTTATGGTATACGGGTTTATGTTATTGGTGTGCTGAAGAATTTAATTTTTGATTTTCATTATAGTTTTTTAATAATTACGAAATGTTGGAAAATCGGAAAAATTTATGCGGAAATGGGTTCTGCTATTTTCCATTTTGTTTTTATTTTTGTAATTCAGTAATTTTTACCGAAAAAAATATTAGCCTTTTTTAGACTTAGTAAATTTGTCAAAACATCAGACTATTTATACGCTTTTCTCGGGTATTTTAAATATTTTAAACTTTTTGGTTTTTGACTGGTTTTGTGGATACAATTATTTTTGAAAAATGCTCACAAACGTGATACAAAGTTTATCATAAATACTATGTGATAACACGATTGGTCGGTTATCTTAAAGTTATATTGATGTGAACGGGCCGTATAAAATGCATACTCTATTGGCTATCATTTAAACTCCAGAATTTAATTCTGAAAACGTTCGAAAACATTTTCGAGGGCTAAACGTAACTTATTTCTCAAAAAACTGGCATACAAAAAAATTACAGCTATGTTAGTTTTTTCATTTTTTTAAATAGTTTAAGTTATTTAAATTTTGTAAATTATGATTTATTTATTTTGATTAACTATCAATTTCAATAGGAATATCACAATTTATTTTCTAAATAAAGTAGTTCCGTTATGCCGTGTGTAATTCAGACAAAAATAGCACGTTATGTGAGATTATGACTTCACCAAAACATTGGTTATATATATTGGTCTCATATATTTATAATTCATAATTTGTCATAATTACGACTGCAGTACAAATTTGTGTCATAATGCACTCAGTTTCCAAAATTGTGAATGCACATCGAGATTTGATATTGATCGTTGCAGTCAACAGTTTAACAGATGAGTGAACTTTACAGTACAGTAAAATTCGTTAATTCATTGAAATTAATGCGTAAAAAAGTTTTCGCTATCAAGATTTACAGCATTTAGATTCGTCACTAGCCATTATTATAACATTTCGACAACCCGTAATAAATGACGGACATATAACTAGTTTAAATATATTGTCCTAGCGTGCACAGCATACGAAGTCTTTCGACATTTGCCATTATTTACAAAACAAGTTTATAAAAGCCATTATTACCTGTATACCCATACTTATAGATCGTATTATAATAATTCTAGGGTCATACACAATATAAGATACGCAACATGTATCATATATATATATATATCAATAACTACATAATAAAAAATCTTATAGGTTCTACATATTTTCGATAGGCTTCTGTTAAAAAAAAAAACAAAAAACAAAATAAAACAAAACAAAACTAGTCTGTATTCTAATTATTAAAATGGTTAAAATCTGACATCAGTCCGACCTCGTATTTTAGAACAGAAATAGGAGTAATTGATTAGTTTAATATTTGAAAAAGGCGTGTTTAAATCGGAATGTCAAAATGTTTAAAGGGTTCATACAAATATATATATATATATATATATGTACGACGTAATATAATATAAAAGAATTGACGTCGATTATGAAAAAAAAAAAAAACAGTTTTTTTGTGATTAAAGGATTATGACGTGTCATTTCCTCCCCATAATATTATCCTGGTAACCGCCGTCCTGGACAAATTTATACCTGACCTATACGCTTCAGGGGTATTTAATCATTCTCGGTGGCCGATATACGGACTCAGTAGAAGAAGGGTCGAACTTTCCGGTGATTCATCGTTATACTCGTATATAGTTATAGTAGAAAGGCTGTATATTATTATTATAAATACATCGGATTTACGTTCTACAGTCTTTCGGATTCTTGTCTAAATTTTTGAACAAGGGTATACCTTTAGGATGGTCCTTATTTTTGAACATTATTATGTTTTATGACTAACCCCAACCCCCTGTTCTGTTCATTACCGTGTAAAAGTAATCTGAGTGCAATTTGGTCATGATAAACCGTGACTTTATATACATTTTAACAATAAAAGCTCAACGCATTCCTTTCTGTCTTTGTCACTTTGAATTCCGGTATTAATAAAAATATCTTCAAACAATGAATCCCTTTGGTCATCCATCTCACTGGATACGGTACATACCAGGCTGTTGGATTCTTGAAATTTGTCAAGTAGAGATCATTTTTCAAGAGTATCGAATACGGCAGATGATATTTTTAAATAAAAATATTTAATGTTTATCAACGCATTCTAATTAATAAGTTCCAAACTTATTTAAAAAATTCGGGATAAATACGAAATTCATTAAAATGGATCCAACCAAATGGAAGAATAATACATTTTGCCAAACCTGAAAGAAGTTAATTGACGTGTTGTATATAGTAAACGATACTGCGAAAAGAGGTGTAAAACTCATGGAAAAATAAAATAACAAGTTAATCAAAAATAAAAACCAAACGAAATGTATATTACAAGTTAGTAAAAAAACTGTTTTACAGTTTTAAAATAAAAATATTTAATGTTTTCTTTAATTGTCTTAGGTTATTCGAAAATAAAAAAAAAAAACCTATCCAGGATACTCGAAACAATCATTAAATGATCCATTTTTATTGTAAACGAATTAAATTTTAAATAAAAAAAAAAAACATTCATTTTTGCCCATTGAAATAATATAAAACTTATCCACTATCCATTATTATATTGACACAAATCCTAGTATGAAATTAAATCGGTCGTTCTAAGATTTTATTACTTACCTTTTTTAGGAAAATCCTTTTAATTTTAAAATTGAGGTGGTTAGTAGTGATATTTTTTCATACATTAAGACCAACAATAAGCTTAAGTAAAATAAACATTCTTCAAATCTTCCGGTTTTTGTTTCGGAATATTATTTAACTTTGTATACTTCTTTTTATATATTATTCTGTGTTACAAAAAAAATATTTTTTTCCCATACATTTTTTATACATGTATATATATAAAAAAATTTAAACTCAGCATATACCTATTTTAACTAAATTAAGTAACCAAAAAACGAAAAATAAAAACATAAACACGAAATAAAAGTTTAAATATGTTTTCAAAATTAAAATCAGACAAACGGTATTATTACACACTCCGTGGTATTCTAAATTGCGTAGAACATATAATAGTTGTCGTATTAACGTAATATATCGTTAACTTGATAACAGTGTTTATTAAAAATTATTATTGATCACGTACAAATACATATTATCAAATAAAATTTACACCGTCACGCCGTCAAAATCGGTGGTGTTGTTTTTTTTTTGCTCTGGCTTATAGATACGATAGCACTGCACTGTCATATGGAATTTGCTATATCAGCAATTTCTCTAATAATGGCAGGAGTGATAATAGGCAAAAAGTGTACACGGGTGCAGTCAGACGGTTAACTCTATAAATTAATTACTGGACATTTATCGATCAGCATTAGAGTACATCCGCAGTTAGTATAATAGCACACCGGATAATAATATTACTATTATTTTGTACACCACAGCCAGACAATCGGGGAAAATTGAAATTTCATCGCGTAAACATCCGGTAGCTATTGTACGTTCAATGTTTTAATGCGATTTCAAATTATTATTATAATAATACATACAGACGATTCGGTTACCGACAGTACTTGTTAATCTTTTTCGTATTTCCTTTTCCTGCACAGACACATTTTGAAAATCGTTTGAACGAATGTTACGTACCATTATACTATTTTGTTACCGCGATGCTTGTATTTGGTAGCTACGCATAATATGTATTATACAATCAAAGATCAAACGGAATTATTATACGGATATTGTTCTTGTTTATTTTATTTGCAGAGACCGAAATACAATTATATAAATGTGTGCAAATTATGTACGCCAAATAATATCATTGCACCGTCTGTAAATCGAAAATCATTGTATTGGCTCGGAATTATTATAAAATTAATTTCGAAATGTATAATATATTCTACAAAATATAACCACCGTTAGTAAAATATATTTATCCCCTTGACCTCGCGGTGTATTACGTGAATTTTCTTCGTGTATACGATCTGAATATAATTTAAATATACTTGATATACCATTGTTATACTTGATTTTTCTTTCGGGGAGGGGGATTACTCTAAACGCATTTTACCCTTTATATTATTTTATTCGTTTGGTGACTTATCCTTAGGTTCTCTTTACATACCTAATCAAATAACAGTAGTTTATCAAAGTATAATATTAATTACTACATATATAAATGAAAAATATATTTTAAACTTTTATACAAATTTGTCTGTGATAATTCGTCGTATATTTCAGTTTTAATCCTTCTATATATTCTAATGAAATTATAATATTATTATTTAAAAAAACGTATACAAAGTTTCTAGAATACGCGGTTAAATTTAAATAGGTACGCGATTCTTTTAATTCGATATACGTGGTGGGGGGGAGATAAGTTATACCCACAGACACACGTTCAGCTGGTCCGACAGAAAAAAATCACATTATATACAGAAAAAAACGGAATATTACTGAAACGACGACGTCGGCAAAAAAAAAAAAAAATCCATTCGTTATCCTTTCCTAGAGAATATAATATTAGAATATACGCTCTTTTCATATAGCGTATATATTATTATATAGCAGTAAAATACTCGTGTTCTGGTGGTGCGATATTATATTATTTTCGAAACTTAAGAAAACTCCCATCATGGTATTCACGAAGAGATAGCGCTGAGGGAGGAGCGGTCGGGGTAGACACTGATACTGGAGAAAGAGAGAGAAAGGACAGAGTATATTATGACATAGCTGATCATTATACACACATCGGATCGTGCGTGTAAATTGTAATATTGTAATGTCTAAAGACACATAATACACATTTTACGTATAATATGTACATATATGTATACGACGATGCGATTATATAGACAAATCAAAGAGCTTATACAGTGTAGGTAGTAATAATAATAATCTGGCCGATCGAAAAATCGGTCGTGATGTAAAAAGCGATGGATGCTCGCGTGTGTAGAGAGCACCGTAATATTATGGAATCGTCGGGCTAAAGCGCCTGTGTATACCTATATATTTTATGATATACATATATATATATATATATATGCATGTAGGTGTGTGCAGTATACAAATAAGGGAAAGGTTTTTTTTTTTTATGTGTAAAACTTGCGAGAGAGTGGAAAGATCGGACGAAGTATCGAGATACGCGGGGCTGCGTTTTATCATTCCCTATTCGAAACGAGCCACAGACTACAATCTTATCAGCTTTTTAATCACTTATCACAAACATAATATTATAATATTGACAACTTGATTTCCCGTTGATGAGTTTCTCCACACATCGGACCAAACCTGATACTGTTCTGATAGAGTTATAGTGTCCTAAGTGTACACCTAGTACTTCATCGACGAAAAAAAACATCAATAAGCAAGGGAGAGAAAATGCAAAAAAACTTGAAATACTATCCTTTGAAACGCCATCAGAAAAGATGTTGGAGATAGTTCTATAGGATAAGGTACCTAAATTCGTAGAACGAAAAACAATAATAATATCTGTGGCTGAGTGTTAAAAGATTCATTTTTCGTGTGTCGGTCGTTTCGAGTAGGGAACGTTAATACTCTACCGGGATGGTCGCTGGTAGTCGTCTATAACCTCGTATATATCCTATGTATCGGGTGCCGTATATACTGGGTAGGGGAGGGGGATAAAGTCGAATGTCAGAAGAACACGACACGTAAAAAGCATTTCAAATTACGCATCGCGCGAAATATAATCGCGGTACACACGTTTCGAATATCGACTCGAGGGCCGGAAAAATCGTCGATAAAAATAAAAATCGTATTTCTCGTCCAGAAAGTGGGGGCATTAAAAAAAAAAAAAACTAACGTTACGACCACGAATATATCTAAAAGTAGAATCAAATAACATGAGGTAATATTTGTACATTTTGTTTCCATCGCCTTTGAAAACTTGCTTAGATTCGGTTAATGAAAATACTCAAAAAAATTTGCCATATTATATCGTAGATACCTTCAGTTATGCGGATTTTTCAATACGCCGCGATAATGAAACTGATAAAAAAATAAATTACATTAGTTTTTTTTTTCTTCAAAATATTTAGTGCACAAAGGTGTAATTAAAATAATTTAGGTTTATTATTTTTTCCACCAATAGTAAAACTTCAATTTATAAAAATGATTACGAGTTCAAATGTGATAGAAAAAAATACTGTTTTGAACTTCAGACTGCATGTATGTTTGATTGCGTGGATTTTGTTTAGAATCCTGACCATTTCAAGCCAAGCCAAGAGAAGAGAATATTAATTTTTTTACTTTAACTATTTCATTTCTTTTTCGTCTATTTTTTGTTCATTTTCTACGCAATTGTTTTTTTGTTTTTCAATTAAATAACTTGTATTACCAAATAGAGTACTAAAAAGACTGCAAACGAATATTTTAACAGTGCATCTCAAACGTTTTCAAAGGAAGGAACTAGGGGCTTGTATGTATAAAATAAAAAATCAAGTAGTTACAATCTTTATAGTAGTTATCATCTTTACGGAACTTTGGTCCTCAGTAGTAACACAATATTTTACTGTAGAAATAGTGACTGAGTGAACTATAATAGCGTTACTGGTATACACTCGATATTTACATTCGATAAAGTATGGGAAAAATCGTCAAATGACAACACCCATGGCAAATATTCAATTGAAAACGGTCCCCTAGTTGGCTACTTATTGATAATGTATAGGCTCTCATATATATACTATATTACCATGTAGTACAAATATCCAAAAGATTTCAAAAATGATGGGGATAACGGCCGTGACATTTTAGTGAGGTGAAATAGATTGAATTTCAAGAAAAAATCTTCAGAAACCCTTTTATAGGTTGGTAACTCGTCAGTTTAAACTGGAATATTAGACGCCTTTTTATATTAATATATTAGTTTTATTTTTAATAGACAATATGCAGTACGAAAAAGTATCATGTATACCTTAATAAATTTAAATTTAAACTAAGGATTCTGAACGAAGCCAGGAACGTGATTGATTTAATGTAATTGATTTGTTATTTTTATCACAATTATACCAGAAATATTGGTCCAGCAATTAAAAACTTTACGGCAAATTTTTTGAAGAATCGTTGATCTAGTTTGTGCGTTGGGTGGATAATTTCTCGATTTTTCATGTAGTTTTGTTAATAAATGAGAAAATATGTTTGTATAATTTGTGCTACTTTCTGGATTACCTAGGCAACAAGAGAAAAATACAACAAATTATTCTCTGTTCAGTATCGTTTTGCTTCAGCACTACATGCAGATATAAATTAAATTACTCTATATTCCACCATTCCAACGTCTCCGTAAAATAGTGGTGCATAGGCTTATCCATCTCTACGGTATCGGCCTTTTTTTTTTCATTTGTTTTGTTATTTACGCATATTTTATAATATATATACGAATTATAATTATCGTTTGCATAATTCGTTTATTTAAGCTTCTGTACACGACTTCCGATCCTTAATTATAATTTATATTGTAAGTACGCGTGTCACGTGTGTAGCGATGGTCACTGGGCAAATGTAAATAACCGATGGGAATTATTTATTTTGGGCAAATGGCCGGGTATTTAACCGTGGTATAAAATATACGTAGGTACCTTTTTAAAATCGAGTATTTATTTATTTTTCTTTTAAAAGACCGTTACAGTAGAATTAGTCGTATTTGTCTATCTAATGGACAATAATACGTAGGTATAGCACAAATGCATCTCACATAAAACTAACTACATAAAGACCTTTAAAATCGGTTTTAGCTATAAAACATCCGTATTGAAACATTTGTAAATTACTACATTTTTCGAAGGTTTTCTGAAATAATATTATAATTTACAGTAAGAAAAAAATATATATACAAAAATTACGATTTTGTGTACCTACCATTGATAATGAGTTGTATATTTAGAGAATATTACCGAAAAACGCTATCTATATTATCTTCGAAATGTCTAAACAATGCATGGATATTTCGTCTTGAAAACCGATTTTTAATGAATTTTCGTTTGTTTTGCGTGCACGCGTTTTCGCTGTATCGCTCGTTTTAGAGAGACAGACATGGTTGCACAGACTACACTGTGATGGTCTCTTGACTTCAACCATGTCGAATTAGATGTGCATTTTTATGATATTCTGTACTTTTCATATCGATAATCTTATAATCGAGTCTATGTCGACACGTAGAGCATGTCATAGAGTACGTAGACGTTGGTAACCTAGGTTGAACCCAATGTTGAAATAACGTCTCGTGTCTCGTTTTCGTTAACGGTATATGATACAGCGGAAGTAGGCAATTATTGAATTTTTTTTTTGTATTTTAATTATTTCCGTTTAAAAATCTTGTACGTATAATAAAATAATGGTTACAAAAAAATGTATTGGATGCGGTCGAAAACTTTTCGTTTTTCAATACCTTCTGACCGAAAATCGGGAGTGAAATAAACACATTACCTATTCCAGTTGTTAAATATCTGGTTTGAAAAATTGTTTGACTTTATACACATAACATCTTATCCATGTTTAGCCGCACAAATATTTTCGCAGGTTTTTCTTTTTTTGCTACTGGAAAAACGACTTAGCTCATAACTAACGCTCGAAACTTATTGCACTTCAAATCTACAAAAAAAAAAAAAAACACCTTAAAACGTCAAAGAAGCTCTGGAAAAAACACTTGATAAATATTTAAAAGAGCAAAAACAGTTAAGTAGGGTTTAAATGTTCCCCATCTAACGGCTCTAACTTATCTAATACAATTGTCTAATATAACATACCTAAAGTTGATCCAAAGTTATTATTTTTTTGAATGCGTACAGTAGAATTTTGTTTAAACAAAATCATTTTTTGTTAATAACTCGTATCGTCTTAGAAAATTATGTTTAACAATTTAGAGCCATTATTAGATAGGGAAAATTTAAACCCTTCTACCGTTTGTTCTTATAATATTTGTTTAAAGTGATTTTTTCAAAGCTTTTTTAACGTTTTTAAGCGCTTTTTTTATGAATGTTAAGTGCAATAAGTCCTGAGCCTTACTCATAACAGTGGAGTATCCGGGTTTTTCTTTTGTGGGGAGGGGGCTGTTGAGTTATATATTATATCAAGTTACGAAATAACCATATATTATTATGGTTTTTTCGTATTGCGAATTAAAATTCGTTTTTTTTTTTTTGTTTTTTAAACAATAGTTTAAGATTTCTCGAAATTCCGGGAGGAGTAGTGCCGCCGCTTCTTTGCAAGCCTCCCCCTACCCTAATACGCCACTACGCCACTCGGTCGTAACGCGTTCGGACGAAAACGCGGGCCAATCGTCCCGATAAAACGCCGACGGGAAATCAACGAATTGTCCGCCTTATCGGTACGTAAACCTGCCCGTTATATGCGTCCGTAAAACCGCCCTGTCCCCGCGTCCCGATACGCGGGTGCCGAACGGTAGATTAGCGGGAAACGCGCTGTCGTTAAGGCGGTCGCCGGACGGCGAAACACGATTTTTGAAATCCGACAAACACTGCGGAGACCCCGGGAAAACCGTTACACCCGACCCCCGCTCACCGTCCCGCCGCCTCGGAACACGATACACACGTTATTCTTATCATACGCGGGCAACCCGAATCGTATTTTCCCGCGGCGCGCGCGTACCTGTATGGGTACCTACGCGGAAAGAGAGTTGGATAGGAATAGTAAAATTATACTCGGCGGCGGAGGCGACGGTGGCGTAGGTACACCTATATGCGCGCGCGTGCGTGCGTGTGTGTGCGTGTGCTTACGCCCGCGAAACGGCAACGTGGCAACTTATCGACGCGGCGTTGTTAGCGGCCGGGGCCGTCGGCCTGGCGGCGGCGGTTCGCAAAGGGACGGGCTGCGCGCGCGGTGGGCCGTGGAGTGGCAGGGGGGCGGCGGTGTGCGAGGCGCCCCGGAGGAGCCGCGCGGTCGCCACCGCCGCCGCCGCCGCCACGCGCGCGTCTCTCGCTACACATGCGAAAACGGGGACGTGCGTTCGCGGTAGTAGCGCGCACACAGCAGTCCGGACCGGAGTGCGTTCTTCCGGTTCCACGCGCGCGGGGCTCCGACTACCACTGCATACACTTACACACGTACGCGAAAACATATATATATATATATATGTATATGTATATATATATATATATATATGTATTTATGTATGTAATCAATAGGCATAGTATTCGATACGTCGAAATTTTACGGTAAATAAAAAAAAAAAAAAAAAATCGGTTTTTTTTCTTCTTTTAAATTTATAACTCCGCGAGTTTTGACGGACCGACCGGACCGGTGATAAATGCACGACACGTAATAATAATAATAATAATAATAATAATATTAATTATAATTATAATAAAAATAATAATAATATTAATAATATATGCCCACTGCTCCGACAATATTAATCCGAATATAATCGTAATCCGTACGACTATGCGTTCGTGACCGCGGTTGTGCGGGCGTGTTCACGAGTTCCGTGTGATAGCCGCGTGTGTGCGCGTTTGCGAGTGATTGTGCGCTTCGTGCGCGCGTATTCGAGTGTGAATGCGAGTGCGTCGCCGCCTCACCGAAAGTAAGCCGCGTGCAGTGCTTTCCGCCGCTGCCGTTGTGAATTGTTATCGTCGCCGTAACATTAGTGCTCTGGGATATCGTGGAATCGCGTAACGACGACGATCGCCGCCGGTGCGGTGTGGTCCGGGCGTGTGTGGCCTGAGTTCCGCAGCCACCACCACCGCCGCCGCCGCCGCCGTAGCAGACGTCAAGCAGAACCGCCGTCTCGTCTTCTGTGCCGCTGCGTCGGACGTCGGACATCACGCACGATCATCGGGCGCCATAGCGAAAAGCCCGGCGCGCGGTGACGGTGAAGAACGCGACGACAACGGAAACGCGCGTAAACGGGCGCGGAAGATTGGGCGAATATAGTGACGGATAAAGAAGAGGAAGTTGGGTTCACACGCAGAAGAGAGGACTACGACGACGAAGACATATAAAACGAACACTGCGGCGCCAAAGACGATCACGACGACGACGACCGGGATCGCGAAAACGCGTGCGGTAACGACGACGAGAACGGTCACGATCACGACGTCTGCTCAAAAGACGACCGCGATAACGACGACGACGATCGAAACGACGACGTCGTCGACGACCCGTACGACGATCGTATCGCCTCCGCCGCCGCTGACGCTATAGCAGTCGCGGCAACGGCCAATGGACGATAGCCGCTGCATCGGCCCGACAGTAAGATGACCGCCGGACCCGATGACCTCGAGCTCCTAGCAAAGGTTAGTGTCGAGTAAACGACAGCGTAACATTATCATTTATAACGTTATTCCCGCGTCATAACACCGCGACGGACGTACGTTAGGCGTAGAAGAACGCGACGGCGTTGTCCGCGTTTCCCGTCCAATAGGAGAACGGTCGCGCCGGATTCTGGCGCGATAACGTGCGACAGTAGCGGGCGCGGAGAGGTGGGCGTTTAACGGTAATCATATTATTATGCGGGCGGCGCAATGATCTGTTAGGTTGTTGTTGGAACCCGTTTGATCCCGCGGTCACGACGCGTACACGACCACGGCCCTTCGTTAAAATCACGTTCCCGCGCTAATAACGCAATAACAATAATTACTAATAATATTATTATTATTATATTTACACGGTAACGTAACGATAATCTTATATCAACGTTTTCGCGCGTTATCGTCGAAACGGTTCTCCCGCCCTTCGGCCGCGTTATCGTCCGCGGTATCTTTGCCTTTATCGCCCCCCGTGCAGTTATTAATACGTATCGGCGCGCGGAAATCCCACGGCCGCGGCGCGTCGCCCATTAAGAATAACGATCTCGGCGCGGCTGCGGATAGCGCGGTCGGCCCGTCCGCGGCCGTCGGTCGGGCGGCGGGACGAGCGCGGCGGGATTCGCAGCCGCGTCGTTTTGCGGCAAATGTCAGCGGCGCCGGTGGCGGCGCTCGTCCGACGACAGTATAATATTATTACCGTTATAAAATAACGTAATGCGATCGTGTTATCGTCCGGCGTCTCTCTCTCTCTTTCTCACTCTCTCTTTATCTCTCTCCCGAAACGACGAGCGTTTCGTTGAAATCGCTATTTATTCGTACCGCGCCCCCCCCCGTAATTAATACGATTCGTAACGAATCGTTTTACAAGTCTTCAGATTCAACATTATCACATGCGGCTCGATGTCGTTATTTACGATTGTTATTCACGCGCACCCGTACCGCGTGTCGTAGCACGCCCGTAATTAACGGCGGTGTACGCGATATCGTTACACCGTCCGATTACTACGATAATACGGCGGCGCGTACTTATTGCACGGTTAGCGGCCGCGTCGTTTCAGTTTTATCGCGGCTAATAACCGCGCGGCGCGTACGTCCCGGTCCGGCGACGCGCGGCGGAGACGACGACGACCACCGCGACCACGACGACACAACGACACGCCTTCGTTAACGACATTAAATCCCGCGTCGTCGTCGTCATCGTCGGCCGGACCGGGTGCAGGCGTACAGCGCGCGCGGGCTGCGAGGCGCCACGGCGGACGACACCTCTCGCTCACGGGCGTTGACCGCCGCCGCTGCCGCTACCGCCGCGGGGAGTTGACCCGGAAAAACGCGCATCTGATTTCGAAGAAACTCGGCCACGAACGGCGCGCCGCACTGCACGCGTTGCGGTTATCATCCCGACGGCGACGGCCGGCGCATTACTATTGTACTCGTTGTTGGGCCGTACTCGACGCGCGCAGGGTAATCGTCGTCGTATTCAAACGATAATTCACTATTGCAGCTATCAGCTACCGATTTTCGAATTTAAAACTATCGCCAAGGTAAATATAGAGATGATTTTACCCGGCGAACTAACGTAAAATCACCCTCCCCCTGGATTTTTTCGAAAAATCGACCCGATAAAAGCAATAGCACCTTTTGTAATGGCGTATTTTCAAACTAAAACGTATTAAGCCGTGTTCCTAATGATTTTCCCTGCAATCGGATACTTTGTGTGCACGTTGTCAGTGTCACCAGGTTTAAATGTGTTAACCAAACTTTAATGCACAGAGCATTGCAATTGAGGGGTTAGCTCCACCCCCAAAATGTAAAACGTTATACGTACTATAACGATACCGTAATGCAAAAATAACGAATTACAAAATTGGATTTATTCCCACCTGACCGATATTTTTCGTGTTATTGCTAAATAATAATTATAATCAGGGCTCAAATTTTATAGCACAGAAAATAACTGAAATATTCGCTATAACATGATCTAACAAATCTTCAAAAAAGCGCTATTATATGTCCTGACATTTTTAAAATAAACTATAAAAACACGAAAAATGAATAAAAAGATATATTTATTATTATTTTTTTTTAAATATATAAATACAATCGAAAGAAGTCATAGGCGTAAACTGTTCAATGAGTCAATACGCAGGGTTACTTAAAAATAAATTATAATATGAAATGAAAATGTAGGTATTTTTCACATGGATTTACATAAACAAAAGATTTTTTCTACTATTAATAAAAAATCGCAGACTAAATCGTTATACTATGCATATAAGCAAAAAATAGCACCAACAATTGAGAAATAGCACTAAAAATCTAAAATAGTTCAAATATGCAAAAAATTAGCAACATACAATTTCATATTCGGAGTCATTGGCGCATAAAATGAATCTAATACTCACTCTGTTATTTTTATCTATATTCCATAATAGTTAGCAAATGCTATGAAATACGATTGTGATTTTCATTACATTAATGTTGTAAAATTTAATGAACACACGCGCGAGTCGTAATATCCAATTATTAATGTCAGCATTCGCAGTGGCGTATCGAACCACTGTCCTTTGAAGCGACTGAATAGTATAAGATAGGTTCGTTAACTTCATTGTTTTTTGTGAAATTCGTATATTTAGGAAAGACGCGTCGCTAAACGTGCGTGTAAATATTGTGACGGCTATATAGGTCTTGTATAAATCGCTGGATCGGGGCGGGCGATGTTTGTAAAAAAATGATTCGCCATTTCTTTAACAAACGTTCACAATAAAATTACCAAAAAAAAAGAAAAAAAAAACATACACATTCTCAATAGGTATGTTCACTTCACCGTGTTACTATTATTTAGTCGTAATGCGGTATGATAAAATAAAAATAACCTTAAAGCTCCCCTCCTAGAACACCGACCCTACCAATAAGCCTCCGACTTTACAAGTACTAAATTTTAAGGTTCGGTTTTAAATAATTGATAATTTCAATGTAAGATGCCGGTAGAAAAAGTGCGCGTGCCGTAAAATGTATACATATATATATGTATAATACGTTCCTGTTTTATAATGAATTTCCGCGGTTAGTATTGTGTACCTTGTCGGTCTTATCGCAGTGTGTACCCATATAATATTTATTTTTCCCGGTCGTCGCATTTGACACGTCGACTTTTAGAAGAAAAAAAAAGGTTAATTTTTTCGCAGTTTACATTCACCCGTCAATAAGTGATCTACTTTTTCGGACACTGACGGGGAAAAAAAAAAAAATCACCATCAATAACGCGCTGTACGACACGTCCTGACCCTATTATTATTATTATCGTCGTTATTATAATACTATAAATACGACCGTGTTTGATGGCGTTTTAAGGGGAAGGAACGGGGAAAAAATGTCAAAATTGGCCGGACGAAACTGAGTGTTGAATAACAAGACAACAATCGGTCAGGTATTTCCGTTAGGTGACGGAACTGTTCCATACGGTGTTACCCGATTGCAAGGGTCGCACAAAATTACATTCATAAAATTATTTCCACAAAAACGGTGACAAAAATTGGCGAATAGGTGTGAATGAAGGGGCGAGGTGGCTGGAAACCCGGACGTTCGTATTTCGTAATCACCCTGTAAGTGAACCTTCTGCACTCGCGTATAGTACACGAACGGAACTTTAATTATTATTATTTTTATATTTTTAGTTATACAGCTCGTTATATTTTCTATTGCTTACAAAAACCGATAGACAGCCGTGTATCATTCCAATGGTATTTTTAAGGTTACTCAATAAAACGGTGCCGCGATCGCTCTGACAGAAGGTCACGACGTCGGCGAAATTGCATCGGTGTACTCACGGAAATGCGAATGAAATCCCCGAGCTTTGTAAATAATAATAATAAAATAAAAAAATAAACGGGCCCGCGTTTGAAAGCGATCGAGAAAAAAAGTAATATTTAAAAACGCGGAAATCGTATTCAAAAAAAATTCACGAGTTTTGACTCATAAAAATGCATAAAGCTCTCGCGCGCGCTACGAGAAAGTACTGTGTGTGTGTGTGTGTGTGTGTGTATGTGCGCGTTTTGTTACGAGATTTTTTTTTTTTTAAATTCATTAAGTATTAATTATTTTTATTTCGTTTATTTTTATTATTTTTTTTTTTAATAAACTTCTCAAACAATCGTATACCGGGAAACAAAAGTTCTGAGTTTTAGAGAAAAAAAGAAATTATTTATACATGTTTTTAATCTCGAGAAAAATCCTCTGCAGTTATAGCCATGTGGGTGTTACTCGACTAAATCTCTAAACTTACTTTATACAGACATTGGTTGATTTATCATAACGCAATCGTCTAGCTAAACAACCGATTCGCTGTTTTGCTTGTCTACAAATAAAATCACCTGTAAGATAACATACGCACAGAAACACCATTGTCTGTTATCTAGATAAAACCGAAATATTTTACAATGAGTCCATCCCTTTTAATTGTATACGGGGTGTGGTGTCTCACGAAAATCTAACGAACGCAACGAGTTTTGTTTTAATCGATGTTTTTAAAATTCAGATAACCGAAAATCATTAATAATCTCAGATAAATCGTTTTCGTTATAGGCGTTTAAATTTTATCTATAGATTGGTTTATTTAAACCTATACCGAACGCACAGTGTGCAGTGTGCAGTATGCTGAGTATCAATTATTTTCTATTAAATTTACTATTACCATTTACCCAACGATATAAAATATGCATATTTTATAGAAATACATACTTAAGGGGCATAAACATTATGGAGGGAGAGATGGGATCTAAATCGTATTGACAAAAAGAACAAATGTTTGTAGTTCACCAATATTATTTTTGTTTTATTTTTTTATTATTTATATGGATATTATTAATAAACACATGTTACATATTGAGAAAACGAGGTTTTGAGTAAAAAAAAATAGAAAGGGCTTGTTGTTAGGCTCTATAGGAAAACTCATTTTAATTAATTAATTTGCATTTTAATGGGTATATTGTTAAAATTATTATTGAAGTTATCCAATTTAGTGGTATGCTTATATTAATATACACCTTTATAGCATATTATATTGTTACCAAAGAAATAAAATGTTAAAAAAAAATATATTTCTTTTTGTGCGTTATGTTTAATACGTAAAAAAAAATGGTAAAAAATGCAAAAAATTAAGTCAGGACTAGGAAATGAACCGCGGTCCACACCGCAGACATATTTATACAAGTGTTTTTACTGCCTCACTTCTTTTGATATAAAGAAAAAAAACAGTTTTTCATAATAAACGAAATAAATAATGTTTTATTTTTTTTCTTGGATAATAATGATTTTATCGAAAAGAGTGTAGGCAATTTGAAGATTTATCAAAAAGTTCATGAACAGTATTACGTTAAATTTAATAGTTGTTTTACTTAAAAACCATTAAACTACGTCATTTGGTCATTTTTCAACCCCCTTGTGGTACGTGAAGGGGACGAGTTATGGAAACTAAATTCTACCCAATTGTTTTTTTCATACTAACGAAAAAAATGGTGATGTAGCTTATTGAAAAACTTAAAAAATAAAAAAATCTTCATCCATAACTGAGGACAACCCTAGTGTACACGTGCAAAAAATTGTGCAGAAGTAATTATCTCTCCTCATCGGCGGTTCGATATAATATTATAAAAATTATCGCTATCGTTGTTTTGTTTTTCTAACACCCTTAGAAATGGTGGCGTTAGATCTTAAAACATCGTTTAATACGTCACTTCATCACCCCAAAGTTCACTTTGTATCTTGGAAATCACAGGATCTCGCATGTCGCGGACCGTGTTTGTATACAAGAAATGTACCTGCAGGATTTGACGATTTCCTATTCGTGCGATGACACAGGAAATTGTCAAATCATAAAGCTCTGTACACCCCCCCACACGTATACAAAACGCACATCGTTGCGTATCCGGTCCATATTTTATTATTGTATTACGCCTATATAGGTACACAATATACAAATGTTAGGTCGGTCGGAAACGTTCGGAAAAGAACGTAGTCATATATATATACGAGTATATGAAAGGACTTATGGATGGGGTGAAAACCCGATTTTCCGCACTAAATACATTATTTACTACGTGGTAGTTTCATATATACATAAAAAAAAATGCGTAGGTACGTGAAATTTTATCGTATGAAAAAAAAAATACTGCACCCGTCGTGTATCGTCGTAACAAACGAGACCGAAAAATGGACTTCCTCTCTTTACCATCCACCGTCACTGTATACTATTATATACATATATATTTACCGTTCGTGCCAATATTAACGAGCTTCTTTGTTTCGATTTTGTGTCACCCGCCTGGGTGCTATATATTATAACGTTATCACGTTAATGTTGTAAAAAATTAAATAAATATAAAAAAAAAAAAGACCGGACATATTTCGCACCACTGGTTTTAGGTGAGACGTTCGGAACACGTATTGTAGTATATACATAGACCCTTATTTGTGGATGAAGCAAGTGTACTCTGTTGCCTGCAATGCGTTTATTCCCTTAAGGGCGCGGTAAATTTATACTAACACACTAAAAACAAAAAAACAAAATATATAAATATTACATAGTAGGTATTTAATTATAATAAAACGAGTTTTTTTTTTTTTTAAATTTCTTAAAATAGGTAAAAACGTTAATGTTTAAAGTTCAAATTAATTTTAAAATGTATTAAAAACACGAACAATACAATTGTAATTTATTAAATAGTTCCATACTAATAACATATTCTGCGGACGACCATAATAGTATCGTCTATAACAAAATTGAGTTGCATCTTAATTTTTGAAAAAAGCAAATTTGAAGACGTATAGGGTCGGTGAATTTGACATAGAGTAATTTAGTTTACATGTTTGTATCTATTGATACAGCATTGTGGCCATTGCAATCAAAAAACGATTTCGACTGGAGCTCGGTAAACTTATAAAGTTATGTCTCATCATATAGTAGTGGTTACATACCCTATAAGATAACCGAGAAAGTAACAAAAAACAAAACTAAAATTAAAGACAAGTTATTTTTTTATCTATGGTTTTAATTTTGTTTACAGAAAAACTGTCGGGAATCATGTAATTTGTTAGTATAGGTACTAAAATTAGTCAAAAATCCGTAAGTTTTAAGTTAAATAATATGAATAATTCGTAGTATATTTATTTATCAAAAAATAATTTTCCGAGAAGAAAAAGAAAAAATAAAGGTCCCCAGCTTACTTACACGCATACTTCTCCGCCTTACTCAGAATCTAAAATATATTTTCGTGTCATATTAAATGTTCAAATGTCAATGCGTAAGTATGTAAAATAAAAAAAAAATCGTTCTATTGGATCGTAAAATAACAGAAATTTTGAATTTTTCGGCACGTATATGGGACATGTGCAAAAAGAGAAAAAAAAAGAAAGGGGGTTGCATCGAAATTTCGCGTATGACATTTCCACCTTGCTCCTGCACGACATCAAATAATATTATTTGTGTAATGTGCGTGTGCATGTGTGTGTGTTTGTCGCTGTATAATAATATAATAAGTTTTAGGCAGCACGTTTTATCTGACGAGGGGAGGGGAGTG